GGTAAGAGATATTTGGTGTCTTTCATTGATGACAAGAGTCGTTTCTCGTGGTCCTTTTTCATCAACACCAAGGATGAAGTTCACAAGTGTTTCAAGCAATGGCTAGCACTTGTTGAGAGAGAGTCAGGGAAGAAGTTACTCACCTTGAGGTCGGATCGAGGAGGTGAGTACATGGGGAAAGCGTTTCAGGGGGAGTTGTTGGCATTGGGCATCAAACAACAGTTCACTTGTCCCTATAGTCCTCAGCAAAATGGAGTGGCAGAGAGGTTTCATCGCACTATCCAGGCTATAGCTACCACTTTCCTTCAGTTCAAAGGCCTTGACAAGCTCTGGTGGGGTGAGGCAATCACTATGGCAATTTATGTTCGCAACAGGAGACCCACAAGGCCCTTACCGGAAGGTGTAACGCCATATGAGGCTTGGTTTGGAGTTAAACCAGATCTGTCTATGCTTCGTGTTTTTGGTTCCATGGCCCAATACCGTGTTCCAGATGCAAAGAGACTCAAGCTGGACAGCAAAGCTCATTGGGGCCTCTTCATCGGCATGAGCAATGAGAGCAAGGGATGGGTCCTTTGGGATCCTGTCACCAAGCGAGAAGTGGTTTCAAGGGATGTTGTCTTCTATGAAGACATGTCCCTTGCAGGTTGGCATAAGTTTTCCTCTTCCTCCTCTCTACCCTCTATCCAACAGGAACCAGCAAGCGCACCTGAAGAAACAACACAAGAGGAGGAAGAAGATGACACCGATTCTGACCATAGCGGACCGATCATCGATCTCCCTCAAGCCGTCGTCAACGAGTCCAACCGTGCCACGCCAGTGCCACCAGCAGCTACTCAACCAAGTGGAGATGAAGTTCAGCCATCAAATGAAGACAATCCACCGCAGCAAGTCACCGTTCCATCACCACCAAAGGAGCAGCAGCCAACAGTCACAAACCAGCCAGCTATATCAACACCAACCTCACAATTTCAACGCCAACCGGATCAGCCCACCACTACGCCATCAAACCCATCACCAGCCATCACTCCAGAGGCAACTACAGAAGCTCATCATCATCCCATGCAGCAGCAATCAACAGCTACAAGACCCCAAGTACCTACATCAACACCATCTACGACTCTTCCTAGCAACAAGTCAACCGTCACCGCAACACCTCGTTCTCATACCACACGTTCATCACTTGTTCCAACGTCAAGCCAGCTCATAGCACGAGGATCACTTCAGCGAGTCACCACCAACACCAGCTCCAACAGTCCACTTCTTCACCCAAGACCTTTCTCAACTTCACCCCCACGTCCCGGATTCGGTCGTCATCAGTTACCACCATCTTCAACACCGAGCAACAACACCAACCAGCCCCAACCATCACCACCTCTCGACAAGGCAGCGTCATCATCAATTCCCAAGCTTCTAGTCTCAAGATCCCCACCAAGAGCATCTTCACAACCAACTATGCCGACAAACGTTTCAGCTTCACTGCCACGAGTCACCATACCTAATCCTCAAGTCAACACCGATAATCAAGATATTTCCACGCCAGGAGAAGAACAAGCAGCCGTGCCGCCGTCGCAGCCGATGTCGCAGCCGTTGTCTCAGCCGCAAATGACCGCATCAACGCAATCAAACACTGTGAGACCGAACCCTACCACTAATGTGTCTCAGCCAACTGAGGAGTTTGGTAAAGGTAAACGAGTCCGCAAGGTAAAAAAGCCCTTCAATTTCATGGTTGACATGTCATCAAGGTGCACATGTGAGGAGAGTGAGAATTGCATTCACAAGAAGGTAGAGGCAATATGCATGGCAGCATCACACCTTCCGCGAGAGCCCTTGAGTCGTCGTGAGGCAATGGCAAGTCCCGAAAGAGAGCATTGGTTGAAAGCCGAGGAAGAGGAGATTGAGAGTCTCATGAAGCGAGGTACATGGCGTCTTGTTGAGCCACCTCCAGGGAAGAAGGTAATTGGTGTCAAATGGGTGTACAAGATCAAGGTAAAAGGTGATGGTAGCCTCGATAGGTACAAGGCAAGGTTAGTGGCAAAAGATTATTCCCAAATTCCAGGTCTTGACTTCACCGAAACCTTTGCCGTGGTAGCAAAGTACACCACGGTACGAGTCCTCCTCGCCATAGCCGCATATCTTGGTCTCCATATCCATCAAATGGATGTCAAGAACGCATTTCTCTACGGTGTCTTGGAAGAAGAGGTATACATGGCACAACCCGAAGGTTATGATGACGGTACGGGTCGAGTGTGTCGCTTGGTAAAGTCTCTTTATGGTCTCAAACAGTCCCCACGGGTTTGGTATCATGCTCTTGAGCAGGTACTTTTCAAGCATGGTTTCACAAGGTCCATGAGAGACAACGCTCTGTACTTCATGCACACGAGTAAGGGGGAGTACATTTGGCTCTTGGTATATGTCGATGACCTCCTCCTAGTCTCAGGTTCTCTTGATCTTCTCAACAAGGTGAAAGGTATTCTCACGAGTGCATTCACGATGACCGATCTTGGTGAGCCGAGTCATTATCTTGGTATGAACATTGTGAGAGATCGTAAGTCACGGTCCATCTTCCTATTCCAGCAAAGGTACATCCAAAAGGTCCTTGAGAGGTTTGGTCTTGATGATAGCAAGCCATCACCTACCCCACTTCCTTCCAAATTTGTCCCTTTGTCTTCACATCAGCCCTATGAAGAGAGAGAGTCAAGCCTTGATATCATAGGTATTAAAGAGTTGTGTCTTGAGGAGAGTGAGCATCATGGTGAGAATTCACTTAAGATATCCCCACAAGACCTAGCTCTGTACCAAAGTCAGGTTGGGTGTCTCATGTATGCAGCCCTATGCACAAGGCCCGACTTAGCATTCACGGTATCTAAGCTAGCTCAACACATGAGTGCCCCTTCACCTATTCATATGCATGCAGCCAAGCGAGCTCTTCGGTATCTCAAAGGTACTTCTAATCATGGTCTTCTCTTCCAAGCCAGCCCATATGCAAGCTCCCTCCAAGGCTTTACCGATGCAGATTGGGCGGGAGAATTGAGCACACGCAAGTCTACCGGCGGCTACATCTTCCTCATGTGTGGTGCCGCTGTTTCTTGGCAATCGCGCAAGCAAAGTTGTGTGGCACTTTCAACAACCGAAGCTGAGTACATGGCAATGACCGAAGGAGCAAGGGAGGCAATCTGGTTACGTGGACTCTTGGAGGAATTGAGGCAGCCGCAAACTCAACCAACTCCGCTCTACGTGGACAACACTTTAGCCGTAGCTCTTTCCAAGAACCCGGTTCATCATGGGCGTACAAAACACATCGAGGTGCAGTACCACTTCATTCGTGAGCAACTAGAGAAGGGAGTTCTCGCCGTCAACTTTTGCCGTTCATTCGATCAAGCAGCAGATTTCATGACCAAGGTTCTTCCACATGATGCATTCAACATGTGCAAGGCAAGAGCAGGCCTCATGACACTTCATGAAGCAGTGGAGCAGTTTGAGGAGAATGAGGAGTGTGAGGGGAAGAGACGTGGGCAGCAGCATGAAGTGTATGCTAAGGAGATGTGAAAGGAGCATCAGCATGGGTGTATGTGTGCTTCGGGTCTGGTGCGAGGGGGAGTGTTGGAGAATCGAGTTTCTGCCGCCCCAGCCCTTCGCACACAAGCAGCAGCAAGGGGGAATGTCGGCGATGAATCAGAGCTTCGGGAAGTACTTCGAAAGTTCCACCACCAATCAGATTTCAGCCGAAGACTCGATATAGTTCAAAGCTGCCTTCAAACCGAAGTGTTGACAGTTTCTACAGGTTTCTACACATCAGAATCAGCTATAACAGAAATATCCAGAGTTTTCTTATTCATGCACCTCATGTGGCACTCAAAGTCACTCAAGGTCCATCCAATCTAGATTGTGCCCAAGTTACCAGGGAAGTTACATTGTCTATCAGCCTAGTTTGAGCTTTCAATCTGTCTTGTTTGTGATGCCTAGAGTTGTGCTTTAGTGGGCTTGTTAATCTTGAACATAGTGAAGTATTACCTAATCCAGTCAATTCCAGCAGCCCTGCTAAGACTTTCCAGCCAAGTTTCCAGCCCTCCAGTAGTCACAGCTACTCTGTTTTACAAGTAGAAGATGAGGAATCAACCTGGGGCGTATTCAAAACTCGGAGTTTGAGTGTCAGCAGAATGGGTCAGAGTAGTTTTTTTTGGGCTGTCTGGGAGAGTGCGGAACAAAACAAGTTTTTTGCTTGAAGCTCGGTCTCCCAACCACTGAAGTTGTTCTCATTACTGGAAAATCCGGCGCTACAGTTGCTTTTTGCAAATAGTTTCACTCCAACCGTATTCCTATATAATTCCACCCTCAATACTAAACACGTCATCAACCAGGACATTCAGGACAGGTACCAGTGTTGTGCCGTGCTCCAACTTTGAAGTGCTGACAGACTAGTAATGGCGGGCATAATTGAGATTATAGTGTGGATGTTTACCTTCCTAGGTGTGAAATCAACGGGTGTGAGCGAAATCTGTCACAGAACAAGAGTATTCTTCGAGAATCTAGTCATAGCCCTGATTCCATTCCAATACATTCCCTGCACTCTTGAGAGTGGCCAGGCTGATATACACACGATCTTGGTGTCACAGGTCTAAAAGACAATCTTCAAATGATGAGACTTCAACGATAGGACTCAGGTGCCTGGCCGGGCAGAAAATACTTGTCTCTGGCCTCCTCAGCCTTGCAGAAAACAACCTGCAATAAAAATGGAAAGTCACGGCTCGACTATATTTTTGTACCCCATGAACATCAGCATACAACCAGGTAACTTCTACATTGACTTTTTGGAATGTATGGAAACTCAGAAGGCACCACAATGCAGCACTACTCACCACCAGGATGGCATACGACTTGAGCAGCAGCTTCATAACCTAAGGAGGTTCGAAGTTGGATCTCAAGTCACCAAAGCACAACGGCACTCACCAGGTTCAGCAACGGCTTCACGACCTACCTGGCGTTTAAGGGGGGCTTTAAAGTCACCAAAGCACAACGGCACTCACCAGGTTGGCATACGACTTGAGCAGAGGCTTCATGACCTTCCACCCCGGCTGGAAGATGAAGGGCGCGTCCACAAAGAGCACCTGGGGTGGTGGGGGGTCAAATGAGAGCCATCATTCAGACGGGTATTGAAGCCATTAGGATAAGCAGAAAGTCCACCCCGGCTGGAAGATGAAGGGCGCGTCCACAAAGAGCACCTGGGGTGGGAAGTGGCAAGAAGGATGGAAGGGAGAGATGCAGGATAGGTGGGGAGAGAGCACGGAAGGTGAAGGGCGCATCCACAAAGAGCACCTGGTGGGAGGCGAAGAATGGAGGAGAGATAATCAGGACGGGAGAGGAGAGAGCATGGAAGGTGAAGGGTGCATCCACAAAGAGCACCTAGGGTGGTGGAGGGTCAAGTGTGGGTAGTAAGTGGGGAGGGCAAGAGGGATGAGGCCATGTGGCAGGAGGATAGGAAGATGAATTTTCAGCGCGGATGGAAGATGAAGGGCGCATTCACCGGTGGAAGGTAGTTTGAGGGTAGTAAGAGGGGGGAGAACAGAAAATGACAAGCGCACACACAAAGAGCTGTATGGGTGCAAATAGTGGGGGAAGCGGTGTGGGAAGCAATGTGAGAAGCAGGATGGGTGGGGAGAGTGAAGAGCAATGAAGGGCGCGTACACTAAGAGCACCTGGGGTGGTGCATCATGTGGGAGCATGTGGGGATGGATGCAGGGTGTGGGAGGGAAGCATGAGGTGTGGGGAGCAAAAGTGTTGGAGAGGAAAGGCATCTTGCAAGCAACTCAGGACATAGCATGGTGAGATGACAGCTAGAGAAAGGGAGAAGAAATCAGGAAGGGTAGAGAGTGGGAGAACGCGTCACAGGTCGGTTCAAAGAAGAAAACCTCTTGCTCATGACACATGACCAGCAAAAGTCGCTCATGTGACATCAGGTGATTAGGTAATCAGGTAATGTCTTTCTTTCCGTACCTGGTGCAATCTCTTGGGATAGTAGTTGAAGAAAACGTCAATCTGTGACATGGATGGCAGGAAGAAACAGGGCGAACGGGATATGGAGAAACATTTGACTGATGGGTATTGGTAGTGGGGAGAGAGAGGATGAGAAGGAGATAGACAAAAATCTATCAGGTGTTGGTAGTGTCGAGAGAGGTTACCCCCCCCCCCCCCCCCCCTATGTATGCTCCCCCATGACTGCCCCATGCAATCCCCCCTTGCACGTTCCCCCATACATGCTCAACCATGCACCGAGCACCCTTCTGCCCCTTCTAAACGCACACCCACTCACCATGAACTTGACGAATGCCAGGTCGGTGTTCTTAGCAGTGAACCCCCGCAGGTCGAATATTCCCCGAAACTGCTCCTCCCCCTCCGGCAGTCGCTCGATGGCTCTTTCAATGAGGTACGCGCACAGCTGCTGGCTGTAGACCAGGCGGGATGACTGGTGATTGGGGAAAAGGACGGAGTGGGGAGGAAGGAGGGAAAGGAAGGGGAAAGGGGCGGGGGCAGCAATGCTTGATGGCCCTCTCAATGAGGTACGCACACAGCTGCTGGCTGTACAACAGGCGGGATGACTGGCAGGTAGGGGAAAGGGGAAAGGGAGGGAAAGGGGGGGGGTGTTGGGGTGTTTCTCGGGGAGCCGACTTTTGAGTCGACTCAAAAGTCACCTCGTTACCAGGAGGGGGGAATGGGGCGTTTCTCGGGGAGCCCCGCAGGTCAAGTATCCCCTGAAATGGCTCCTCCCCCTCTGGCAGTCAGTCGCTCGATGGCCCTCTCTATGAGGTACGCGCACAGCTGCTGGCTGTACGCCAGGCGGGATGACTGGGGGGATGGGGGAAGGGCGGAGTGGGGGGGAAGTACGCCAGGCGGGATGACTGGCGGGTGGGGGTGGTAAGAGGGGGTGGTTTACTTGGTTTAGCGAGAGGTCTAAGGGGGTACAAGAGGGTATGTTGAGGCGAAGAGCCATAGTGAGATGGCTGTATTGCAGTCGCTCGATGGCTCTTTTGATGGGATATGCGCACAGCAGCTAGATGTAGACCAGGCGGGATGACTGGCGGGATGGTGGAGAAGGTGGGTGGGTGCGAGGGGGAGGGGCAACAATGACTGAGTTTAGCAGTCGCTCGATGGTCCTCTTAAAGAGGTACGCGCACAGCAGCTGGATGTAGACCAGGCGGGATGACTGGCGAGGAGGGGTGAAGGTGGGAGAGGGGAGTAGGTGGGTGGGAAGAGGAGGGGAAACAATGAAAGAGCTTAGAAGGCAACAATGAACAGAGACCAGAAAGTCACTTACGTCGGGGAAGTGTTTCGCTGCCACGACAACGATCACGGGCCGCCCGTCCACGTCAGCGTACTCGTGGAGGAAAGCCTTGCCCGTGGCCCCCTCCTCTGCCACGTCAGCAGCTGTCAGCCCTGCCACTCCAAACTCGTGGCGCCATTTCTGATAAGAGCATGAGGGACGGGACACAGGGGTGCATGACAAATAAGGGGCGAGGAACAGGGTGTAAACAAGGGAAGGGCAGAGTCCTGTTTCTCTTCAAACAAAGGGTGCACTTTGAGCATGGCCTCATCGTCCCACCCATACTCGCTCATAGACGATTCACCTCACCATAGCCTGCTGCTGTTGCTGCTGCTTCTGCTTCTTCTGCTGCTGCAACAAGAGTCACGAGCACCATTCTCGCAACACACACACTCTCCCACCCACCACAGACCTGTACCCAAGCCAAAGCACTCACAATGGCTTTCACGGGTTTCTCCACCGTGGGTTCCACCTTGTACTTGCGATCCTTGAGGAACCACCTCAACATGGCCGGTGACTGCGGCTGCTGCTGCAACGCACTGCACCGCACTATACCACTTACAATTGCTTTCGCAAGCTTCTCCACCGTCGGTTCCACCTTGTACTTGCGATCCTTGAGGAACCACCTCAGCATGGCGTCATCGTCCCTCCCATACTCGCCCACCGGGAGGGATGCATGGTCGCGAGCCAAGATGCTCTTCACCTCATCTACGAGCTGATGGTGAAATGGGGAAAGAGAGAGGATGAGGGGGAGAGAGCAGTGAGGATTGAGGAACCACCTCAGCATCGCCTCGTCGTCCCGCCCATACATACTCGCCCACGGGGAGGGACGCATGGTCGCGAGCCAAGATGGCCTTCACCTCGTCCACGAGCTGATGGTGCATCGGGTAAGGACGGGTGGGGGTGGTTTTGGGAGAGAAAGAGGCTATGCATGCAGTCGTTGCCCCTCCCATTCTCGCCCTCATTTTGAGACGTCTCAAAATTAAATCTTCATACAAGAGAAAGAGGCTATGCATGCAGTCGTTGCCCCTCCCATACTCGCCCTCATTTTGAGACGTCTCAAAATTAAATCTTCATACAAGAGAAAGAGGCTATGCATGCAGTCGTTGCCCCTCCCATACTCGCCCTCATTTTGAGACGTCTCAAAATTAAATCTTCACACAAGAGAAAGAGGCTATGCATGCAGTCGTTGCCCCTCCCATACTCGCCCTCATTTTGAGACGTCTCAAAATTAAATCTTCATACAAGAGAAAGAGGCTATGCATGCAGTCGTTGCCCCTCCCATACTCGCCCTCATTTTGAGACGTCTCAAAATTAAATCTTCACACAAGAGAAAGAGGCTATGCATGCAGTCGTTGCCCCTCCCATACTCGCCCTCATTTTGAGACGTCTCAAAATTAAATCTTCACACAAGAGAAAGAGGCTATGCATGCAGTCGTTGCCCCTCCCATACTCGCCCTCATTTTGAGACGTCTCAAAATTAAATCTTCATACAAGAGAAAGAGGCTATGCATGCAGTCGTTGCCCCTCCCATACTCGCCCTCATTTTGAGACGTCTCAAAATTAAATCTTCATACAAGAGAAAGAGGCTATGCATGCAGTCGTTGCCCCTCCCATACTCGCCCTCAGGGAGGGACGCATGGTTGCGAGCAACAAGGCCTTTAACTCATCCACGAGTGGGGGAGTGAGGGGTGTAGATGGGAAAGGAGAGGGCGGGGGGTAAGACACGGGCAAGGAAAGGCTTTCATTTCCTCCTGGACCGTGGTTCAGGGGGGCTTTCATTTCCTCCAGACGTCTCGAGAAGCGTGGGACAGGGGGGATCCTGAAACGTCTCAAAAAGCGGGGGTCAGGGGGAAAGGGGGGAGAGAATAGAGGTGGGGCAAGGATGAGAAGGGGGGGGGGGGAGCTCAGCATACAGTCTCAGAGGGGAAAAGGGTGGCCTTGACCCTCATGCATAGAGGTAACATGCATTTATTATTACCTGAATCCACTCCTGCTTACCTTCATCAAGTACCACCTGAAGCATTACCTGAAGCATCACCTGAAGAATCACCTGAAGAACCACCTGAAATGACACCTCTTTCCACTCACCGCAGCGATCTCCTCCTCCCGCCGCTCCACCCATCCGCTGCTGCCACTTGTCGTCACGCCATTCGTCCCCGTTGTCGTGGTCCCCCCATCCGCTCGCACACAAACTCCCCTTCTTCGTCTCAGGCTCAGTGGCCTTATGTGATTCTCTAGTCCTCCCCTCGAACAACTCCCCCTCCTGTCTCTTCGAAAACTGAGAGCGGTTGTGAAAGATGCAGGGGCGATTCGAGTGCTGCTGGACGCTGACGTCACGCTGACGTGCTGCCATGTGGCAGCAGCAGGAAGGAGGGCTGCTCTGGTGTTGGCCACTGCAGCGGATCCTGGGAACGCCATGTCAGCCAGTCACGCTGCGCCGCGTGGCAAGAGGAGGAAATGTATGGAGGACACGCATTGGAGTATGAGTGATTGATGAGTAATTGATGAGTAATTGATGAGTAATTGATGAGCAAATGTGGAATGATGCATCTTGAATGGCTGGTCTGGTAAGTGATTTATCATGTCTGATTCGTGATGACTTTTGAGTCGACTCAAAAGCCAAATGTGGAATGATGCATCTTGAATGACTGGTCTGGTAAGTGATTTATCATGTCTGATTCGTGTTTGCTCGTACGTACGAAAGGTTCTTAGCGAGTGAATTGAATCAAGGAGTGTGCGGTGTAGGTGAATGGGAAGAGAAACAGAATGGAGAAGAAACAAGACGACTCGTTGTAGTCACACTTAAGCGAGCGAGCAAGTACGTGCAGAACCCGCCGCAGCCTCGATTTCCCGCTAAGAAAGGGAGGATCTCGAGAGCGTTGGAAGTAACACGGCCGACAGAAGAGAGGGGGTTACTTTCGTGACGTCAATAATTCTCCCGAGTACCACGGACGTAAGCTCACGGACTAAGACACACGGCGCCAATGGCATTCTAGCGTTCTGGAAATGAAAATGCTGATAAAGGAAGGGGTACTCTCGCGACGTCAGTAACCCCCAAGAGTGCCAGAGTGGGATCACGGATCAAGACACACGGCGCCAACGGCATTTTAGCGACGATTTTTGGTTAGCGAACCAGCCAAAGCGGTATTGTATCTCGCAAGAGAAGCCACGAGGCGGCGACGGCATTGTTACACTCACGCATCCCGCTACGCAATGCATCAAGGAGCGAGTGAAAATGCGATGCGATAGTGCGCGGGCAGGGAGTGGTAGCTATATTTTAGGTGTTGACATCCAAATGCGTGGTGCGCAGCGTCACAGCGTCAGCACTAACGTGGTACTAAAATCTAGCCGTTGACTGCGGAATCTACTCACCTACTGCAACGGATTGTCGTTGATTGGAAGGTGATACGGTGTCCCTCAATGCGTGATGATAATCCCTGAACTGTCACAGCAATCCCAAGGCGTTCATTCAGTCAGAAGAATGACGCAACTCGAGAGTGAGAATGCGGAAGCAGAACTGGAAATGGCGGGAGGCGAGGGAGGCGAGGCCAATTTGACGGAAGAGTGGATAAGAGTGATTGTATGAGGAGTGTGACTCTATGAGAAACGTGACGAGTGAGGAGTGTGTCACTCAATCCAGATTCTTTGTTTTGATTCTGTGGAAGATTCTATGCCAGAAGGAAAAGGCGACCAGATCTTCAGCGAGCTGACAGCTGGTAACCATGTGCGGGCGACATCTAGTCTGACACGAACAGCATGAAATATATACACGCTAAGCTAGCCTCCGTAACAATTTATCTCAAACAAATAATGCTTCAAAATCAACAACAGAGCACAACCACTAGCAAGGAGACTCGCGCATCTAGCTGTCAGGTGATTCCACATACGAAATCTGGGTTGGGCTCCACCAACTGCAGTTCAGGGTATGAGCCAAATTGCTCTTAGACGTTCCCAAGCCAAGGTTGTCTGCCAAGGCTCGTTTCCGCGTGGAGCCAGCTGTGAGGTGGTGTGGCCAGACCAGAAAACGTGCTTCTCACCTCATACCATACACCTAACCACCGCTATTTTCAAGGGGAAACCCAACCCACTAATCTCGCGTTTCAAAGTTACCCTGCACGTTTTCGACTATTTCAGTTCGACACTTAGATGACTGGGGCTATGAATGACGCCTAATGCTCGAAGATTAAACTCATAATGCGAACCTGAATCCATAGCGCCACTTCTACAGTACTCTCTTCGGGGATCTGGAACAGACTCTCGCTAAAATTTAATGATGCCCCACACAACCCTCGGTCAAATATTTAGAAAGGGTGCATACCCCAATTGTGCAAGTGGGGTTGAAAATAGACCGAAAGAAAATAGCGGTGGTTAGGTGTACCACCAACACGACTTCACACAGAATGCTTCAAACAGGAAGGCCAAGCTCATGGCACCTGCCATAGCGCTCGACATTTTTTTTCTTCCCTAGACCATTGGTTTTTAGTGGAACCACTTCTCGCACTTCAAATCCGCTCAAGCTTCCACAACGTCCGAAATAACGACCGATCTCTTTTCCATGCAATATCCCTTCGGGGGAGGGTTAGGTAATATCGAAGCTCCGCTATACATTTGAAAGGAGGGGTTCAAAATCCTTAGGAACTTGAAAAGTTGCCCCAAAACTGTGAGGCACACTGTATAAACCCGAAATCCCCCTTCGGGGGAAAGATTTCATTTCGTGCTGGAGAGGAAATGCCTGTGCACCGTCCAGCCTAGACAACCAGGTTCGTTGTGCCTGGGGGCTTCCCTCTCTGTCGCAAGAAAGTGTCGTTTTCAGCATGTCGGTCGACGCTGATTGCTGCACCTCAACCTCAGTGGTCTGGCTGGAAGCGCTTCTTCACAAGGCTCGTTGGTTCGACCGTCGCTGCTCCTCGGAGAGGGCGTGATTACACGTCACCATTCACGACCAGACAAATTACGAAGCAGATTTTGAGGTTCACAGCTCGCAGAGCCTGGTCTTTGGTTGGTAGGCATCTGGTTCGTCGTGGCTGGTTGGGAGACACCAGCAACAGTGAGTACCGCACTGTTGCACCGCAGCCATTCCCCCACCCCCATGTTTCCCCATCCCCGCAAACCTCTCCCCATTCCCCTTTCCTTGTCGCACTCCGCTTGCATCCTCTCCCCCGATCGCGCGTTCTGGTTGGTGTATCTCGATCAACAGCGTTCTCCTGTCCTGATTCCTGAACGATACCCCAGACAAACGTTCACAAATGTACAGAATCGTACTTCACCGTATTGATAAGAGCTCGACCCCTTGCTCCAAGGTTGTTCATAATTCCTGCTCGGCTAGCTGATGCCTGGTTGATCAACAACAGATCGACGACTCTGGCTATGTTAATGTTGAAGTCAAGTGTTTTTTAGCAACCACCTAACGGCTTTTCCGGCAACCAAAAAGTGAACAGCATTTTATTCGCATACAAAGCAAAAAATCAGATTATCGTTGCTTAGTCTCGCCTTTCACCTAAATTCGACGTTTCGCTGTTCGTAAGTGCATCATTTGGCGTCGGACAGACACGCGATTTTGTGGCGTGTCGCCTAGTTGTCTCTCCGTCTATCGCCGAGCTGTCGTCGAGCTGTCGCGCACGTCGCATGGCGATGGTGGATTACCTGGTGATGGGCTTCGGCCTCGCCGCGTGCGGCGGCTCGCTCTGCGGCGGCGTGCTGATCGCCTTCGACTCGCACGCGCCCGAAAAGCTCAAGGTACGGACAAGTGTGTGCTGCAAGGTACGGACAAGTGTGTGCTGCAAGGTACGGACAAGTGTGTGCTGCAAGGTACGCCCGAAATACTCAAGGTACAAAGCTGGCGATATGAGCTTACGACAGTAGCGTAGTTGCACGGTTCCCGCTCGCCCCCGCTCTTTCCGCTCTTCCTCCTCCCCTCCGTAAACGCCCATCCTCCCCTCCGCTCTTTCTTCGCGCGCGTATGGCGAAGCCGGAGCCCGTTCGCTTCCTGTTATGAGACGCCTCAGATGTTGAGACGTCTCAAAACTCGTTCGCTTCCTGTTATGAGACGTCTCAGATGTTGAGACGTCTCAAAACTCGTTCGCTTCCTCCCGCTCTCTTGCCGTCTCTCCCCGTTCCCTTCTCCCCTTCCCACACCCCCTCCCCCACCCTCCCGCGCCGCCTCCGCTCTCCCCGGCTCTTCCCCATCCTCCCCCCCGAACCGTTCCCTCCCGTCCGTCCGCATTCCAGCCGTTTACGGGCGGAGTTTTCATAACGGCTACGCTGTATCAATAAACTAGCTCTTGGTCCGCCCACTTCCCCCGTCCCTGTCCTCCCCCTGTCCTGTCTTTCCCCTCCCACATCGTCCCCATCCCTCGTCACCCCCTCCCCCTTCATCCCACCCTCCCCCCCCCCACCCCCCCCTCCCCACTCCCCCCCCGTATTCCGCCTGCCACTCTTCCCCTTACCCCGTGTCCTCCCGCCCCCATCAAAGCTTTCCCATCTCCTCATCTTTCCTCTCCCCCAATCTCCCCCTTGGCGCCTTCTCCATCTTTCCCCCATCCCCCTGGCGCAACAGGCGGAGGATGCGGAACCCATTCGCAACGGCGAGTCGCTCATGGACCCGCCCTGCCTACACCGCATCTCGCGCCCATCCCACGGCGCCGCGCATTCCTCCGGCGGCGCCACGCGTCCGTCGCTCACTGGCTCTCGCCCGGCAAGCGCGCCGATTCGAACCGACCGACCTGAGGCGCAACCGACGGCGCGTATGCCGCCCGCGAATCACGGCGACGAGCGGAAAGAAACGCGCCACGTGGCTTCAGCTGGCCACCGCCCGCATCCGACGCGGTCGCGCTCCTACGTATCGTCTCCCGCGGAGCTTCAAGACGCGGTTCCTTTGCTTGATGCGCCGCGAGATGCGCCGCGAGAAGCGGAGCGGCGTAGAAGCTTTGACGGGTTGGAGTCGGAGAGGGCCGGTCTTATGCGCGATGGTGACTATAACGGATGCTATTCTCACGGGGGGCCGTTCGAGTCGCGCGAGGGCAATTACGCTAATTACCCGGGTTACCATGCGCACGGGGTTGGAATGCTGGCGCGTCCACACTCACACCCTAACATGCACTCGCGGCCGCAGCACTGCGGGTCAGAGGGGGATGTGACGCAGCAACACCGGTACTACCAGCATCACCAGCAGCAACAGCAAGCGCAGCAGCAGCAGATGTACTATCAGCAGCAGTGCCACCAATATCAGCAGTACCTGCAGCAGCAGCAGGAGCAGAATCGGGAGCACCAGCCGCAGCAGCAGCATCAGCAGCAGGAGCAGGAGCAACAGCAGGATCACCGTCGTTTTCACAGCAACCATTACCCGCATCCGCTCCCCCTACAGAAGCCCCTGCACTCGCGCTCACACACCCCGCCCTTCCCCCCTTCATACCAACCCCCCCATGCGCCGGACTTTCCCCCGCACGCCCCCCCGCGTTGCCCCCCCTCGTACCCCCCTTCCGCCTTCCCCAACCGGCCCGCGGGTGCGCCCATATGCCCGCCCGCGCAGAGGCAGCAGGGGGGCCCGGGGGAGCAAACGGCGCACAGGCAGCTGGAGCAGGGGCTTAGGACGCTGCCCAGACTGAAGGTGTGAGGGGGTTGAGCCTGGGAAGCGAGTGAGACAGCACAGGTGAGAGCACGCAGCTGGAGCAGGGGCTTAGGACGCTGCGCAGACTCAAGAAGGCTGCCCACTCAAGAAAGGAATTTTCTAATCTGGGCCAAGGCGTTTGGGAAGGATGGGCACAGGAGGCGTGAGGGGGAGGATGCGAGCAGGAGGTGTGAGGGGGAGGATGCGAGCAGGAGGTGTGAGGGGGAGGATGCGAGCAGGAGGTGTGAGGGGGAGGATGCGAGCAGGAGGTGTGAGGGGGAGGATGCGAGCAGGTGTGAGGGGGAGGATGCGAGCAGGAGGTGTGAGGGGGAGGATGCGAGCAGGAAGTGTGAGAGGCTGGCTTGTGCAATAGCAGCAATAGAGGCTGAAGTGGGGCTGTGCAGAGGGAAAGAGAGGGGGGTGGGGAGCGCCAATGCTAGTTGAAGCAGGGGAAGTGAGTGTGGGCATGTATGGGGGGGGATTGGCCGTGGAAGAGAGATGGTGTGGGGGGGTGAGGAGACTGGTGAGGGCATGTAAGTGGAGGGATGGGGGCACTGGGCAGTTGCCCTTTATGCCTTTAACAGAACGGCATGTCTTTTTTGTAGTTGCCTTTTATTTTACAGAGGGGAATTATATGCAAAGGTAGCTGGAGCAGGGGGGTAGGAACTTGAAGTGTACTGCTGTATTTTTGTTGGCGTTTTAGCACTGCGGAAACTCCTACTATTATTATACTTGTGCACTCGAAGTAGTGTGAAGATCAAGCTGGGAAAAAAACGTTCAACTTATTAGAATGATTGTGATGACATAGTTTAGGGTACAATCAAAAGCAACGGCACCACTGTACTGTTTTATCAAGCTCCTTTGCACCCCTCGAGATGGCCGCCGGGCCTGCAGCAAGCCCACCTTACAAGCTGCTCAGTATTTCTCGAGAGCCTATGCTGATTTCCCCGACGTGCTTGGAATCCGAATTGCGCTGCTGTAACCTCGTGGAACCCGCAGCGGGACCTCAATGTTCCAAATTCGCAGGTTCTAGATTCCAGGTTTGATACTCCTCTCGAATCCTCCTGACTCCCAAGCCAATCTCATGGCTTGCTGCCTTGGAACCAAGCGATCATCGTCGTTCGGTATGCTTGTCTCCAAGTGCCGTCGTCAGCAATCGACGTCGCATGATTCGCCAGCGGCCTTTCGCTCATGAGCTGCTCCCGATCGCTTCTGATTTGCGAGTGCTACTGCTCTGAACCGTATATTACCGTTCTGACCTCCTTAAGCAGTGCTTGTCAGTATTTTTTCTACTCAATTCCCGGAATGCAGGCGACCCAAAATACCTGGCACGGTACGCACTTGTGAGGGTCGCAGTACGATGCGTGTAGTTAAAATTTAGTACAATTTCACTAATTTATTACGCTCCGCCGTCGTAAGCCATCGCATCCTCAGGCGCCTCGTTATAGTCACCCACCACCCGCCACGTCATCAATGACGACATCATCCTCCGTCACTTGCTCATTGCGCTTACCACCAGGCACAGCACCCGCTGCCAGCTCTTGGTCACTGCGCTTTCAACCCCAAAAATCAGCCCACGGAGCAACACAGTCACGCGTAGGGTGTGAATTCAGCGGCAGCTCACAACAATGGAAGTGCGGGTTACCAGGCACACCATCCCCCCCTGGCATCTGTTGGTCAGTGCGTGCATTACTCCACGGAGCATTGAACAGAGCAACTGACAGAGCAACCCACGGAGCAACGCGTAGAGCAACCCGCAGAACAGCAACCCATGCCTGTCGAAGGCCAGGAGCAAGGGCAGGGGTGTGTGTGAGTGTTGCTGCTGCTGCTGCGGAAGAATCAGCAGGAGGAGGAGCAGGAGGAGGAGCAGCGGGAGGAGCAGCAGAAGCAGGAGCAGAAGCAGCAGCAGGAGCAGCAGCAGGTGGGCTAGCAGGCCGACCAGCAACCCCTGCCAGCCCAAGACGAAGAGCGAGGGCAGAAATTCGCGTAATTATAGCTGCTGCGGTTGCTGCTGCTGCATTATTTGCGGGAGCTGCCGAGAGAGCAACGGCAGCATCAGCAGGAGCAGCAGCAGGTGGGATGTCAGCATTACCACCAGTGGCAGGGAAGGCGGTGCGGGTGGTGCAGTGCGTGTCTCGCTGTGCGCCCATGCTGGAAGATAACTTCCTCAACAACTCCGCCAGATCGCTCTACTCCTATGTTCTTATGCCTGGCGAAAAATCGTTTGGACTGCTGGCGTGGCTACCGGCCTATGTGACCAGTGCTGTGCAGCGATCAGAAACATTGGTGAGTGCGGCCTATGTGGGTAACCCAGTCACCCATGAGTCATGCCAAGCATGGCTTGCTGTGCACCCCCATGCTGTGTGCCCATGCTGTGCACCCATGCTGTGCGCCCATGCTGCGCACCCATACTGCGCACCCATGCTGTGCTCCCATGCTGCGCACCCATGCTGCGCACCCATGCTGTGCACCCATGCTGCGCACCCATGCTGCGCACCCATGCTGTGCACCCATGCTGCGCACCCATGCTGTGCACCCATGCTGGAAGATAATTTCCTCAACAACTCCGCCAGAAGGCTTAATCCAACGTGCTCAGCGATAGCAGTCTGTGGGGTGATGGCGGCATGGCTGTTGAGTCGACTCAAAAGTCACCCCAGAACTCTCCAATCCAACGTGCTCAGTGATAGCAGTCTGTGGGGTGATGCTGACGTGGCTGCCGATCCGTGTGATAGCAGCTGTGCAGCAATCAGGGACGCTGGTAAGTGCGGCCTAAGTGGCACATAGGCATGGCTGCCAGCATATGTGACTGCGGGTGTGCATGCAAGGATCAGGGACACTGGTAACTGCGGGTGAGTGCTGGGTTCGAGACGTTGCAAATCCAGATAAAGTGCTGTGATTGAGAGTACATTTGTTTTTGTCCACTCAACATGAGACGAGTTTCGAGTCGACTTAAAAATGGCATAAATCCTGATCAGTGTTGTAATCAAAAGTATATTTCTCTCCACGTCATTGGTTGCTGCTTCCCTACAATTCGGGGTCAAATCTCACATCTCATGCCACGTGGACCCTGAATTTCATGCCACGTGGCAGGTTGTGATTGCTCTGCGGGAGTCGATCGTGTTTTTCGCCCTTGTCGCCCTCTTCGCTGTCACACCCCACGTCTGCCGAGCCCTCAACTGGTACTCACCATTAACTGATTCATTACAATGTCATCTCATTACAATGTGATCTCTTTGCCATGTCATCATGTTAATGTGTTTTTACATGACAATGCCACGCGCCAAACCAACACATAACTTCAGAAGATCTACCACCAGTGCAATAACTATCACTAGTTGATTATCTCCTTCTCTTGCTCCTGTTCGGTGCCGCCAAGTGCACTGCATCCCAGTGCTTTCCTCACGGGTCGCCAACACCTCCTTTTACGTCCACCACCCTTTGCCCCTGCTGCATCTCATGCTGTGGACCTCTTTCATCATGCGAGACGGTCGAGTCACAGAGGAATCCTTCCAGGGCTCGTTGTTCGGCGCTCTCGTGCTCCCCCCTGCTTCCAGGGCTCGGTGTTTGGCGCTCTCGTGCTCCCCCCTGCTTCCAGGGCTCGGTGTTCGGCGCTCTCGTGCTCCCCCCTGCTTCCAGGGCTCGGTGTTTGGCGCTCTCGTGCTCCCCCCTGCTTCCAGGGCTCTGTGTTTGGCGCTCTCGTGCTCCCCCCTGCTTCCAGGGCTCTGTGTGTGGCGCTCTCGTGCTCCCCCCTGCTTCTAGGGCTCTGTGTGTGGCGCTCTCGTGACTCTCTTGTTACTATCCGCCCTCCTGTTACCATCCTCTGCCTCCCAGGCTGTGGGCGTCATTCATCATGAGAGGCAATGGAGTCACAGAGGAGAGGAATGCTTCCAGGACTCGGTGTTTGGCGCTCTCTAACTCTCCCATCAGACTGCCTCCTTCCCTTACCACTCCCTTCATCTCAGGCTGTGGACCTCCTTCATAATGCGGGACAATGGAGTCACAGAGGAGTGCTTCCAGGACTCGGTGTTTGGCGCTCTCGTTCTTCCCCTGCAGTTTGTTGCTGCAGCTTTCTTCCTTACCAGACAGTAAGCAGCTTTCCTTTATCGTTCATAACCGCTTGTAACCGCTCTCATGCCCCCCCTGCAGTTCGTTGCAGCTGCTTTCTCCCTCACCAGACAGTGAGACATTACCCATGTTACCGATTTTACCCGCTTGTTAACGTTTCTGATCGGTTGGGACCGCTTGCGCTTCTCCGGAGGTTCAGAATGGTTCCGGTGGTGGTGGCAGTGGTGGCGGTAAAGCATGCTTCCCTTGCGTTTCTCCCTCGCCCCATCCTCCTTCCATTCCTCGCAGCATGCCCCTCCTCTTACCTCTAGCCAAGCTCCACCTCCCAGTCCTTTTCTCCTCCGGAGGCTCAGAATAGTTTCAATGGTGGTGGTGGCAGCAGCGGTGGCGAAGCGTCCCCCCCCTCCCTTCTTTTCCTTTCTCCCTCTGTTTCCCTTCCTTCCTCCTTATCCTTTCAGCATGCGCCTCCTCTTGCCTCTAGCCAAGCTCCACCTAAGCCCCTGCCTCCTCTGGAGGTTTAGAATGGTTTCAGTCGTGGTGGTAAGAAAGCGTCTATCCTTCTTCCTTGTCCCCTCTCCCCCCTCTACTCTCCTCCTCTCCCCCTCCACTCCCTTTCCATACCTTCCCCCTCGTTATTGCAGCATGCGCCTCCTCTTGCCTCTAGCCAAGCTCCACCTAAGCCCCTGCCTCCTCTGGAGGTTTAGAATGGTTTCAGTCGTGGTGGTAAGAAAGCGTCTATCCTTCTTCCTTGTCCCCTCTCCCCCCTCTACTCTCCTCCTCTCCCCCTCCACTCCCTTTCCATACCTTCCCCCTCGTTATTGCAGCATGCGCCTCCTCTTGCCTCTAGCCAAGCTCCACCTAAGCCCCTGCCTCCTCTGGAGGTTTAGAATGGTTTCAGTCGTGGTGGTAAGAAAGCGTCTATCCTTCTTCCTTGTCCCCTCTCCCCCCTCTACTCTCCTCCTCTCCCCCTCCACTCCCTTTCCATACCTTCCCCCTCGTTATTGCAGCATGCGCCTCCTCTTGCCGCTAGCAAAGCTCCACCTGAGCCCTTTCCTCCTGCGGAGGTTCAGAATGGTTTCAGTAGTGGTGGTGGCAGCGGCAGTGGCAAAGCCTCTTCCCCCTCTTTTTCCTCTCCCCCTCTTTCCCCATCCCTCCTTCCCCCTCGTCATTGCAGCATGTGCCTCCTCTTGCCGCTAGCAAAGCTCCACCTGAGCCCTTTCCTCCTGCGGAGTCTCAGAATGGTTGCAGTGGTGGTGGTAAAGCGTCTCCCTTCCCTTGATTTTCTGCTTCGCCCCATCCTCCCTCCCGTCCTCGCAGCATGCGCCTCCTCTTGCCGCTAGCAAAGCTCCACCTGAGCCCCTTTCTCCTGCGGAGGTTCAGAATGGTTTCAGTGGTGGTGGCGGTGACGTGCTTTGCTGTGGGGTGGAAGGACAGAGTCATGCGGATGGTGCTGCAGAAGCACCCGGCTGAAAAGGTGTGTGTGTGTGTGTGTGTGTGTGTGTGTGTGTGTGTGTGTGTGTGTGTGTGTGTGTGTGTGTGTGCGTGCGTGCGTGCATGCGTGCGTGTGCGTTCGTGCGTGCGTGTGTGTGTGCTTGTGTCCTATAGGCCATGGTGCATGTGATGGGGTCACAGTGACGTGCTTTGCGGTGGGGTGGAAGGACAGGGTCATGCGGATGGTCCTTCGGAAGCACCCAGCGGAAAAGGTACAGATCTGGATGGCCGCGTGCCTGGTGACCTGCTGCAATGGTGGCGGCGGTGGTGGTGGTGGCAGTGGTGGCAGCAGTGGTGGTGGCGGTGATGTGCTTTGTTGTGGGGTGGAAGAATAAGGTCATGCGGATGATGTTGCAGAGGCATCCGGCTGAAATGGTACAGTTCTGGATGGCCTCGTGCCTGGTGACTTGCTGTATTGGTGGCGGCAGCGCTGGCATTGGTGGTTTCACTGGTGGTGGCAGTGACGTCCTTGGCTGTGGGGTGGAAGGATAGGGTCACGCGGATGGTGTTGCAGAGGTTTCCGGCTGGAAAGGTGTGTGCGGGTCTGTGGGTGTGTGGCCTTGTGCCTTTTGAGTTGTAATTGCTATGATGTTGGTGGTGGTGGCAGGGACGTGCTTTGTGGTGGGTTAGAAGGACAGAGTGATGCCAATGGTGCTTCAGAGGCACTTAGCTGAAAGAGTACGAAGTTTTCCTGGCCTTGTTCCTTGTGACTTACTGCGACTGATGTTCCTTGCTGCGACTGATGTTCCTTGCTGCGACTGATGTTCCTTGCTGCGACTGATGTTCCTTGCTGCGACTGATGTTCCTTGCTGCGACTGATGTTCCTTGCTGCGACTGATGTTCCTTGCTGCGACTGATGTTCCTTGCTGCGACTGATGTTCCTTGCTGCGACTGATGTTCCTTGCTGCGACTGATGTTCCTTGCTGCGACTGATGTTCCTTGCTGCGACTGATGTTCCTTGCTGCGACTGATGTTCCTTGCTGCGACTGATGTTCCTTGCTGCGACTGATGTTCCTTGCTGCGACTGATGTTCCTTGTTCAACATCAGTCGCTTGTCATCCACCTCGTGGGGGTGGACGACAGTGCAAAACCCGTTCACTCTAAGGTCCATGTTTCCCCTCCGTTCCAACCTGGGAATCACCTGGGAATCACCTGGGAATCACCTGGGAATCACCTGGGAATCACCTGGGAATCACCTGGGAATCACCTGGGAATCACCTGGGAATCACCTGGGAATCACCTGGGAATCACCTGGGAATCACCTGGGAATCACCTGGGAATCACCTGGGAATCACCTGGGAATCACCTGGGAATCACCTGGGAATCACCTGGGAATCACCTGGGAATCACCTGGGAATCACCTGGGAATCACCTGGGAATCACCTGGGAATCACCTGGGAATCACCTGGGAATCACCTGGGAATCACCTGGGAATCACCTGGGAATCACCTGGGAATCACCTGGGAATCACCTGGGAATCACCTGGGAATCACCTGGGAATCACCTGGGAATCACCTGGGAATCACCTGGGAATCACCTGGGAATCACCTGGGAATCACCTGGGAATCACCTGGGAATCACCTGGGAATCACCTGGGAATCACCTGGGAATCACCTGGGAATCACCTGGGAATCACCTGGGAATCACCTGGGAATCACCTGGGAATCACCTGGGAATCACCTGGGAATCACCTGGGAATCACCTGGGAATCACCTGGGAATCACCTGGGAATCACCTGGGAATCACCTGGGAATCACCTGGGAATCACCTGGGAATCACCTGGGAATCACCTGGGAATCACCTGGGAATCACCTGGGAATCACCTGGGAATCACCTGGGAATCACCTGGGAATCACCTGGGAATCACCTGGGAATCACCTGGGAATCACCTGGGAATCACCTGGGAATCACCTGGGAATCACCTGGGAATCACCTGGGAATCACCTGGGAATCACCTGGGAATCACCTGGGAATCACCTGGGAATCACCTGGGAATCACCTGGGAATCACCTGGGAATCACCTGGGAATCACCTGGGAATCACCTGGGAATCACCTGGGAATCACCTGGGAATCACCTGGGAATCACCTGGGAATCACCTGGGAATCACCTGGGAATCACCTGGGAATCACCTGGGAATCACCTGGGAATCACCTGGGAATCACCTGGGAATCACCTGGGAATCACCTGGGAATCACCTGGGAATCACCTGGGAATCACCTGGGATTTGCCTCTCTCCTCCCACCTCCCTTATTCCCCTTTCCCCCTTGATGCCCGCCCACCAGCCCATCTTGCCCAACGCGAGTCGTTTTCTTTCGCTGTGCTAATCCACCTCGTAGGGGTGGGCCATGCTTTGGACCTGCTGATACTGGCTACTACCTCTCCCTCAGACCAATCCCCCTCTCTACATTTCACTCCGTCACCCCTTTCCTTCCCCACCACCAGCCCATATTGCTGAACGTGAGTCGTTTCCTCTCGCTGCTCATCCACCTGGTCGGCGTTGGTACTGTTCTGGACCTTTTTGGCGTCTCGCTGCTCTCCCTGGTGGCTGTGGGCGGCATTTCAGGTGTGTGAGGGATGAGAAAGTGAGTGAGTGAACGGGGACTGGGAGACCTCGTGGGGGTGGGCACGGTGCGTGATCTCTTCGGAGTCTCGCTGCTCTCCCTGGTGGCTGTCGGCGGTATCTCAGGTGGGCGGCATCTCAGGTGGGCGGCATCTCAGGTGGGCGGCATCTCAGGTGGGCGGCATCTCAGGTGGGCGGCATCTCAGGTGGGCAGCATCTCAGGTGGGCGAGGGAGGAAGTGAGGGGGTGAGTGAGGGATAGTGAGTGAGCTGGGCTGTGTGCCTGCCCTCCCTGGCCTCACAGAATTGTTATGTTCTGGAGAGCATTCCTGGTGTCTTTGCTGTCTCCATGGCCTCCCTTGAAGCATCTCAGATTGTGGAGGGAAGGATTTATTCAGAAAGAAAGAAAAAAGAAAAGAAAGCAAGGAAAGAACAAAAGAACCTCCTCTTGAGGCTGCTCGAACTTTACATTGCAGCCAATCGTTCACGTTTCCTTTTCAGGGTGGAGACACCTTCACTTCTTCCTTAACCCTTATGTACCGCACCGCACCCCATGGCCCCACTTTCCCAGCTCCCAAGGCAAAGCACCCTACAGCCCCACCTCCCCCCATTTCCCAACACTTCCCGGGCCCCAGTCTCTCCCATCCTCCTACCTGTCCCGTTGCCCAACCTCTCCCTTACTCCAACCTTTCCCATCCCCCCGCACCGCCAGAAGTTGCCATGGGACCTCCAAGGAGATAGCCACGGATTTCTTTGGCGGGTTGGTGCTGGTGATCTCACAGCCATTCGTGGTGGGAGAGCGCATTCAAGCAGGGGCCATATCAGGCCAAAACAAGCACTCCATGCCTCCATCCCCCATTCAACCCTCAAATATCGAGCACCCACTCTCCCACCACCCAACAACCCCTTCTTCCCCAACCGCCAGGTGTCGCCATGGGATTCGCTTCCAAGGAAATCGTCACCAATTTCTTTGGAGGGCTGGTGCTGGTGATCTCACAGCCATTCGTGGTGGGGGAACGCATTCAAGCAGGGAGCATATCCGGGCGGGTGGAGGAGATTGGGTTTCTTCACACCAAGCTGGCTGGAGCAGATAAGGCGCCAGTCGTGGTGCCAAACCAGATCTTCAACACTGCAGTGAGTGCGCCTGTAATGAGTAAGGAAAGGCACCTATCATGAATGTGCCGATGTGCCTATAACGAGTGCATTGGGAATGGAGAGAGCATTCAAGCAGGGAGCATATCGGGGCGGGTGGAGGAGATTGGGTTTCTGCACACCAAGCTGGCTGGAGCAGACAAGGCGCCAGTCGTGGTGCCAAATCAGATCTTCAACACTGCAGTGAGTGTGACTATAACGAGTATGTCACCATTCACACCTTCAGCGCAGCAACAAGTGGCTTCCTGTGCTGGATTGGACCTAGGAACGTTCTGTGATTGCAATTTGCAAACCATAGCCATACATATCATTATATCACCCCACTATTGCCACTGCTGACCCTCCTGCCACCCGCCACAACTGTCACTCCACTCCCACCAACCGCACCAATGCTCTACCAGGTCATCACCAACTTTTCCCGTGCCCAGTGCTACCCTGTAGCAGTGACCTTCGAGCTGCGAATAGAGGATATCGAGCGAGTGCAAGCCATCACGACTCACGTCACGCAAACATCACCCCGTTCCCCCCAACACACATCACCCCGTTCCCCCCAGGTCATCACCAACTTCTCCCGAGCCCAGTGCTACCCTGTAGCAGTCACGTTCGAGCTTCGAATAGAGGATATCGAGCGAGTGCAAGCCATCACCACACGATGCACATATCCCCATTCCCGCCTTCCCATTCCCACCTACCCTCCGCCAGGTCATCACCAACTTCTCCCGAGCCCAGTGCTACCCTTTCTCAGTCACATTCGAGCTTCGAATAGAGGATATCGAGCGGGTGCAAGCCATCACGTCCCGCATCACCCACATGCTGAGGGCGCATGCTGACGTGGACCAATCACAGGGCCCCGCGCACGCAGTGCTGAAGGACCTCAGTGGAGCGAGTCTGCACGTGGGCATGCTGGCTTCGCTGAACCCTCAGGTGAGATTTCAGGTGATTCCATGTGAGGTTAAGTGTGTTCTCTGGCATGAGCTATTGCAATTGGTTCTCAATAATTGTGTCGTCATCCCCCAAACGAGACCTGGCTCGTATGCAAAGTATAATATGTATATATGCATTTATGGATATGCATGTATTTGCTTATATTTTCATGTATGTGCATGTAGTCATAGAAATGGTTGTTAGATAGCAAACAAGTTGAGATGCAACATTCTGGTATGATGGTACCAGCTCATTCCGTGACTGCTACGGTCTGGTACGTTGGGGCATGATTGCTCAGGGCTGTTCATGGTTTGTATACTTGCTATCGTTAATAACCATGCTCTGTTGCACTGGTATGATGCAGGGAGGTAGGAAGGTGGTGGACGTCAAGCAAGAAATACTTGAAAGAGCGGTGAGAATTATACTAGACGAAGGGGCATCTATAGGCACAAACGTACAGTTTCTTGATAGTGGGGCAGGCTCATCATAAGGCTTCATGAAGAAAGAAGGTTCAAGATTCCATCTTTATGCAAGTATGAACCTTTCCTATGATATGAATTATTTGCATCATCCGTCTTATCATCCGTTCTAACTTGAAACAGGTGCTAACTGTAGTGTCTTTAATAAGCGAAAAGTAAATTTCATAACCATACCTTTCAGTCTACTAACACACGGTGCACCCATACTGCTGTTTCCCAACGATTCTAAAAAGCTTATGGGGAAATCATTGGAATATTTGTAAGGGCGAAATATGTAACTTAGGTTTCTAATTTATTGATCCCCAGATTTTATACGGCAACATCACCTTTGTTGATTAGAAGTGTTCATTTCTATCATCAACAAGGTCAACGGCGTCGTGTTTGTCGGTCCGAATTTCCGAAACCGGTATCGCGGCATCTTCGAGTCTTGGTCTGACCAAGGTGCTCCGATAAAGGCCATCTCGCTTCTTGCGCCTTTGTCCATTTCCGTGACTCCGGTTTCCCATGTTTTCAAACGTTCCTTCCCAACCTGTCTCGTGATGTGACTTGTCCCATGTCCCATCCCATCCTGTCCCTTCCAGTCTCGTGCACGCGAAAGGGAGGATGTGCTCGTGATGTGCTCGTGATGTACGAGACCCACGATGCCATGCCAGAATTCATCCTCGGAGAATCATCACCCCATCGCACTGGATGGCGGATGCTAACTCATGAGGTATCAATCAACGGCTGAAAGCTGCCCTCACTTTCTCGAGTCATGTATCATCATCACACACAAGCCACACCATCCAAGCGACCTTCCTTTACACCTTCCTACCCTCCACCTCGCCCCACCAGCCTGTCCGTCTCTCCCGCCCATTTGCAACCATTTGAAACCATCCGCATCCTTCTAAATCTGCATCCGTGCTTGGACTCAAGTCGTCTTATTTCTTCGAGGCTCACTTCCCGTCAGCCATCACCCGCAGCACCTCTCATATCTCCTCCAGCATATATTTTCGCACTTCTCGCGATCAGTCCAGTGTATAGTAGTGCCTGGCAACTCCTCGCTGCAACTCTCAGATCTCCTCGTGTAAATATTCTCGCAATCGCAATATAATACTTCGTGTATATCAGTACTCTACTTATCGGCTGCCGACCTTACGCTGCGCGACCAGCGCCTAGCAACTCCTCGCTGCCCCAGACAGACACGATCTTTCGCAGCCACATCTTATCGTGTCAACTCCAATTTCACTTCGTATCCATACATTTCCTTTCCGCAGCCTTCGAATATCATCATCAGTGTTTTCTTCCTTTTCGGACTCTCCACTTCCAGCCACTTTTTCAAAGATCAACTCGCTAACACCTCAATACTCAAAGAGCGTTTTAACTCCGAGATTTCTACACCGCATTCATGGGCAACTGCTGTAGCAGTGGTTTTCCTAACGACGACGGGCATGCGGCGCCGGCGAAAGTGACTATTGCGGGCGGTGAGTAGCAAAAGCCTTTTTTCGCATAGCACTAAATTTGCCCGTCAGCCTGTTTCGCGTGCGTGTTACAAAATTTATGTTCCCCCTCGTCAGTGAAGTCCACTGTCTTTCCACCTCATTTCTGACCCCTTTGACCTCTTTGACCCCGTTGACCTCGTTGACCCCTCTTGAGGCTCCTCGGGCGTTCAGACTCACCAACGTACCCTAAACCTGTTGCCCCCTGCAGGCAATTACACTCAACCTCCCGCAACCACCGGCGCGGCGCACCAGTTCCCCGCGGCTACCATTCCGCCGTATTCGCCGTCCCCCGTGTCGCCCTACCGCCCATTCCATTCCGCGCCTATCCGCGGAGCAACCCCCCACCATTTTACCGCCGTCGTACCCGTCAACCCTTCACCCCCGCCTCCCCAGATCCCCGGAAGCACGTTCGCCCCATCCCCTGCCTCCTCCTTTCCCCCCTCCCCTTCCGCCAACCCTAATAATGGCTCCGCCGCCTCCCCTTCCGCCAGCCCCAGTCTTCGCGCAAATGCCTTCTACGACTCCGCATATCATGCCTCCGCTTCCGCCACTACTTCATCAGCGGAACCGCTTCCCCCCCCCATAATCTCCGCGGGGTCTTCCGCCAACCAGTCCGCGGGCAGCTCCGCGGGGTCTTCCGCCAGCCAGTCCGCGGGCAGCTCCGCGAAGTCTTCCGCCAGCCAGTCCGCGGGCAGCTCCGCGGGGTCTTCCGGCGGGGGGAACTCCTCCACTTCCCCCTCCGCCGTCCCTGTGCTCCGCGAGTTCAGCTTCGCGGATCTGCACATGGCGACGGGGGGGTTTGCGCGCGCCATAGGGGAGGGGGGGTTCGGAAAGGTGTACCAAGGGCGGATGGTGCTGCCTGCGGGCGGAAGCAGCGACACTGGCGGGATTTATGCCACAAGCGGAAGAAGCAGAGCTGCTATGGGCGCAGCATGCGGCGAGATGAGGGAATGTGACGTGGCAGTGAAAGTGATGAATGGAAAGAGTGCTGCTCGTGACTTGACGAGCTTTAAGGTGAGCGAACACGCAAATCACTTGAGGGAGTTCTCACCAAATTAAAGCAGATATCAACCATCTGTGCTAGTTCTCAAGGCATTTCATTCATCCTTCCATCCATCCACTCCTTGCTTACCTGCCAATCCACTCTCCCTCTTATCTGTTCCGTGATTTCAGGCTGAGGTAGCAGCCATGTCAGCAGTGAATCATCCCAACATTTTGAGGCTGGAAGGCGTGGCACTAAACACATCCCAGGGACCGATGCTCGCGTATGAGCTGATACCTGGAGGCGACGTCAAGAACTTGCTCAAACAAGGTGAGAAGAGTTCTCTCCTGCGTTGATGTGGCACTAGGTACACCACAGACGCCGATGCTCGTGTATGAGCTGATACCTTGAGGCGCGATGTCAAGAACTTGCTGATACCTTTTCTGCTCTCTTCCATACTCTCTCTCACATTCTCATTCTTCTCTCCCAAGTACAGCAACTAATCTCCCTCTCCTTCGTCTCCCCTCCCCTCTCCTCACTCCTTCCGCATTCAGTCCATAAATTTTTATGTTCATTTCCAAAGGAGGCATCGCATTCACTAAGGTGCTTCTTTGAAGCGCCCTAAATCCCCCTTTCTCCTGCCCCCATTCAGTCCAGAAAAATGATAATCACTTTCCATGGAGGCATCGCATGGAGGTGCTTTTGAAAAGACTTTTGAGATGCCTCTAATTCCCCCTCTCTTCCTCTTTCGCCTATCTCCTTCCCCCATTCAGTCCACAAAAGTGATCTTCACTTCTCATGGAGGCATCGCATGAAGGTGGCACTGGGCTGTGCCGAGGCACTAGCCACCATTCACGAGCACAAGTTTGTTCACCGTGATTTCAAGTCTTCAAATGTGCTTCTGCGAGAGGTGCGAAAATTAAGATTTTGTCCCTTATGTGTGATGTGTAAGTTCGGTATCCTGTTCTGCTGTGCTGTCCATTTTTCCTGTCCATAGCGCTGCTTGATGTAAATGTTCCCATCACAATCAGTCAATTAGTGTTGTCCAATTCCCACCTACTAACTAAGCTTCATGTCTCCCTTTGTTTTTTGTACTTGTGTGACTTGCAGGATTTCACTCCAGTGGTGGCTGACTTTGGTTTGGCTCGCACCATCGAGGACTGGAAAACTCACGTGTCAACAGCAGTGGTCGGCTCTTTCGGCTACATCGACCCGATCTATCTCCAGACGGGCCAACTATGCCAGAAGTCTGACACGTTCGCGTTTGGCGTGTTTCTATTGGAGCTGATTTCAAGCTGCAATCCCCTCAATGCAAAGTATCAAGAGCTGAGGCAGCTGGTAATTTCCAAGGATCCACCGGAACCTTCCTTGGTCATTGATCCTTCTCTTGAGGGGGAGTGGATGAGGAGGCATGCTTTTATTCTCTTCACTTTGGTTCGGTTCGCCATCTGCTGCAATTGGGAGCAGAGGCCTCCAATGTCAGTCATTGCAGCCAAGCTTAGGATGATCTGCAGCGAAATAGAGGCTTGATTCGTTTTCCAGAAAAAAAAAAGGTTTTGGGTAATGCATTGATGCTCTGTTCATCTTGTTGATGCGTTAATCCCATTGAATGACTGTTCATATATTGTATACCTAGTACATACGAGCAGCAGAAAACCGGTAAAATATTATTCCTTTGCTTGTTGAAGTACTGAGCTGACTTTTGGAAGCTGTTCACATGCACAAGCTTTGTATTCTTCTCTGTGGTTCCACATCGTCCATAGCAGGGCTCTGGCTAGGATTTTGGCCCGTCTGAAACTAAAGTAGTAAAAAAAATTCGTCTGAACGAAATATGAGCTACCTCGGGTGGTCTGAATTCTCAGACGAAACAATGGCCCTCGTCTAAATTTCCAGAAGAAATATATGCACTTCTATAAAAAGTGCATAATGCAACAATACTAACAAGTTTAGAGCTCTGCAACACCAGGATGCGAACTCTGCCCCCCGCGACAAACACCGAAATCGACTAGCCAACACCTGGCAAGAAAACCTGTAAAGTTTGACTACATGTAAGGAAATGTCCTTTTCCTTACTTCGCGTCCCTGCTCAGCGCGTACACCACTGTTCCCACCCACAGCACCCAACAGTAATCCGTTACCACTCGCGACAATCGCTTCGACACCATTCCCGCCACCATTCACGACGCGACCCAACCTCACGGTTCGGTTGGTAACCCGCGCTCCGGACCTCCGCCTCGACACTTTCCCAACCTCGGCACCAGGCCCGTCGCGCACCCCATTTTTCACACATTACCGTTACCACTGTAGTTTCGCTATATATTCTTCGCTCATGCCTTCGCTCATTGTACTCTTGCTTCGATAGTGCAATTCTCACTCGTTCGCTCCATTGCACTCGTAACACTTGGTATTCAGAGCCTACGATCTCTTCTCGGACCGCACCCACACCTTCGCTTCCCCACTATCTCAATTTTGGGGGGGGGGTAGACGTCTCTCAGCGACACAGCACCGCCGCTTGTAGTGCTCTCTCGTAAGCACGCACGGCCACGACCGAGGCTCTCGCTGAGCTTGCCCGACACCCCCACCATGGCCGAATTCAATCTCGCGACCTTGACGCAGGAGCAGCTCGACCGTCTGGTGCGCCAAGTTGAAGATTCGGCACTCGAAATAGCGACGCTCACGGCGGAACGTGACTCCGCGCGTCAACAGTCTTCGGTGAACACTCCAGCAGCACCACACGCACCAACAAATGCACCTGCACAATCGGACGAGCCAATCATCATCTCGTCCGGTACACCAACACAGCACGACAGCGTGGGACGGCGCTCAGGTGCAGCCAGTGATAGCGCCGCCCAACCAATGCATGGCATGGGAGGAAACAGGGTTGCGCCAAGCCCGCGGGAGCCTCGCGAAGCCCGTCGGCACGTGGAGTTTGCAGCAACAAGTGGCGACCACATCATGGCACCAATGCCACTCAAGCCGCAGCGCCCGCCCTGTTTCGATCCAAGCCAACGTGGAGGTCCGACGGTTCAGTCGTGGGTCTTCACGATGAACGTTTTCTTCGACGCGAATTACGTCGAGTCGGACGCAGCGAAGATTCGCTATGCTGTTTCGCTGCTGAGGGGCCCCGCCATGGACTGGTGGCGAGTCATCGTGACGTCGCCACGCGCCTACGAGCCACCGTCGCAAGAGGAAGGGCCCACGGGTCCAGCTGTCACCTGGAGTTCTTTTTGCGAGACCGCCCAATACAGCACGTGGGATGCGTGGTGCGCAGGGCTTCGGGCGCGCTTCGAGCCAATCGCGGCTTCTATTTCGGCGCGTCAGAGGTTGCGCACTTGGCGGCAGCTCGGGTCGGTTCAAGATTACACGAGCGGTTTTCTCGCACTTTGCGAGCAAGTCGGCTACATGCACGAAGCGGAGCGGGTGGACCGTTACGTTGGAGGGCTGAAGCCGGATATCTCGCACGAGATCATGCTGCGCGGACTCTCGAACTTCAACGAGATTCTCGCGCTCGCCGAGAAAATCGACATTCTACGCCGACCGAGACCGGGGTCCTACTACGGACATCGTCCTCGTGGACCGACCGAGCACGCCACTGTACACGCCGTTGCGACAAATGCAGCTGCTGCGCCGTTTAAGGGGCGCTGCTTTGCTTGCAACAGGCCGGGCCATCGCAAGAGCGAATGCCCAGAGGAGCTGAGACGCCGCGGAGCAGAGCAGGGGAGGGAGTCTCTAAGGCAGGGAAACGCCAGCAGTCAGTAGGAATCGGGCCAACTACTGACGAGACTGCCTGCTCGCCCAACCACACCGACCCTCACCGAGTCACAGTACCGATTCACGCTATCGATCGGGCTCGGATGAATAAGGAGGGTACAGCGACGGATTGCCCAGTACTGATCCACGGGAAAATACAGGGAGCAGCAATGAAGATTTTTATAGACGGAGGAGCAAGCCACAAGTTAGTTAATACCGCAACCGCACGAAAGCTGCAACTGACACTTAGTCGGTGTTTACCGGAAATAGATGCACGCTTAGTGGACGGAACGCCACTGGCCATACGGGAGAAGGTGGAGAGAGTAAAGGTCCGCTGCGGGGGAATTTTTGGGTTTACACAGGAAATGCTCGCGACGACATTGGATGGGCACGACATTTTACTGGGATGTGATTGGCTGCGACGGTATAACCCGCGAATTGACTGGACGACGGGTAGCTGCACTGTGCGAAGTAGCGGTAACTGGGTCGTGCTACCTCGCTGGCAGTCGCCCGAATGTTCAACGGTCCACGTCAACGCCGTCACGATGAAACGGGCTGTCGCCGCTGGAGCTGACGTGTACGCAGTAGATATAGCATTGATAGGAGAAGCAGAGCAGCCGAGTGATTTTCAGAAACTGCTGGCAGCGGTACCGCCCGAACTGCAGGAACTGTTGAAACGTGTAAATCAAGAAAACAGGAATGGATGAACTATGAATGAATTGGGTACAAGTACTAACCCTAATTGGGTTGTACCCCTTATGGAGTACCCCACTATAGCCTACACAATATGCATGAGCTATGATATTCTGACACACCCCCATAGGCAAAGTGGGGGAGAACAAGGGGTCACAAGACCAGTCAAGCAAAGCAAAGCAAAGCAAGCTCAGGGTGGATCACAAAGTCACCACACATTCCGAGCACAAGTTCAAGGCCACAAGGCCAGTTCACAAGCAGGAGTACACATATATATAAAAAGGCTAGACAAGCAAGAGCAGGTATATATATATGTAACAGTACAAGCAAGGTCAAGAGGTGAGCAAGTGAGGCAAGGTAGGCACAAGGCCCAGCTGAGTACAGAAGCGCTGATGGTCACAAGGCGCAAGTGCCTTGGTGAAGATATCAGCAGTGTTGGCCTCAGAGGCCACGTACGCAAGACGCAGCTGACCACGCTGCTGCAGCTCACGAGCAAGAAAGTAGCGGAGAGCAATGTGCTTCGTTCTGTGCTCCAGTCGCTGCTCCCGACACAAGGCCAGCATGGCCTTGTTGTCTACGTACAGCACTGGAGGAGAACGAGGCAACTCTCCGAGGTCAGTCAGCAGGTAGGTGAGCCAGCGAAGCTCCTGTGCAGCCATGGCTCCTGCGTAGATCTCAGCCTCACAACTGGAGCCGAGAACAGAAGACGAGCGAGTAGCCCGCCACGAAACAGAGCCGGAACCAAGGCTGAAGGTGTAACCCTGTGACGACCGCTGCGTAGCCTGGTCGTCAGCCCAAGAAGCGTCTGCGTGCCCAGTAAGGACCACTGGACTCTGCCCTCCAAGCACAAGCCCCATGCCCGACGTACTGCACAAGTAGCGCAACACCCTCTTCGCTGCAGCCATGTGCTCCGGTCTGTATCTCCCAGGAGCAACATAGCGTGCAAGAATGCTAAGAGGGTATGCAAGGTCAGGTCGTGTGCAGGTCATCAGGTACATGAGGCAGCCAACAAGCTCTGGGTACGGGCCACTCGACTCTACGGACTCATCCGAAGGCAGAGCTGAGAGCGAGTGGCGAGTAGGCAGAGGAGTGGCCTGAGGCGAGGAGTACGTGAAGCCGAAGCGCTAAAGGACCTGCTGCACCATGTGTGACTGAGTCAGGGTAATGGTGCGGCGTGCTCTGTCCCGAGTGATCTGCAAGCCAAGGTAGCTGCGCAGTTCACCCAGGTCAGTGCACGTGTGTCTCTTCTGCAGCTCGGACTTCACGTGGGCTAGTCCTGCAGTGTCAGCTGTGGCAAAGACCAAGTCGTCGACGTACACGAGGATGTAGAACGGCGGCAAAGAAGTGTCGGTGCGCAGAAACAGCGACGGGTCAGCAGTAGAGGGAGCAAACCCAAGAGCCGCAAGTGTAGTCCTCAGTGTGTCGTGCCACTCACGCGGTGCCTGGCGGAGACCGTAGACTGGCCGCCGTAGGCTCCACTGGGTGCCAGGAGGAAAAGACCCAGTGAAGCCAGGTGGGCGACGCAGCCAGATTTCCTCGTGCAGGCTGCCCTGCAAGAAAGCAGTGCTGAAGTCAAGAGAGTGTAGCTCGTAGTCACGGTGAGCAGCTACGTGCAGCAGTACCCGAAGAGTGGTCATCTTCGGGGTGGGAGAGAAGGTCTGAAAGTAGTCAACTCCCTGCCGCTGACTGAAGCCACGAGCCACGTAACGCGCCTTGAAGACAGGCGGAGAACCCGGCGGTCGCTTCACCCTGAAAATCCACATGCCACTGACGATGTTCGCCCCAGGAGGGGGAACAGCGTCAACGTAGGTGCCTGTGGACTTCCAGGAAGCCATCTCTGCGTCCATAGCTGCCTGCCACTGAGAGGAGTAGGGACCCTCTATCGCCTCCGCGTAAGAGCGCGGAGTCGGGATGTCAAGTGCATCCGGGTCTCCCTCAGGGGTAAGCAGTACGAACACGAGATGAGGTGAAGCAGCGGCCAAGCACTAGAACTCCTCCTGCCTGTCCTCAAGGACGTCCGTGCCAAGGGCACACTCACCCCCGACGGACGGAGGACAGACAGACTCAGACTCAGTAACAAGACTGGCG